GTAATTCAGGGAATGGTATTTGGGACTCAGGACTTGATTCTGCAAGTTGCTGTTCACTCTGCCGCAACTGTGACAAGGTCTGTGGATCCCAGCTAGGTCTCATTAATCAGCTGTGGGTCCACCAGAAATAACCAGCTATCATTTTATTAGAAGACCATTATCATTGAACTCTGAGGGATCACCAACAACTCTAACCCCAACCCAGCAAGCCACTTAAGCATGTATTTGGACTATTCACATACTTAAATGCTCAGGGATGGAATGCTTAGCACTTAGAAAGTGTCTGTCTTCCTCCTTCATTAGAACTGATTCAACGGCTCAGTACATTAGAAAGGATAATGTACTAATGGAGGAGAGGTGTTTAAGTGAGAAGTCTAGGCCGTGATCATTAGAAGTCCTCTTCCATTTTGCACAAGGGTGGGTGTGTTTGTTAACCTAGAGTCTTGGCCACATTCCAACTCACGTAATTGCATACAGACTATATAAAACTGTATCTTGTACTAACAATTGCAGAAGTTATTCTTTGCTTCTCCCCCTAAAACAGTGTTGTGTCAAGCATCTACCACACTCCACGCTAGATGTGGCTGCCTGTCAGTAGTAGATGAGTAATCTTGTTTTACGCAGAGTCTGGGATCCTTTAGGATGAACAAACCTATATTATTCTTATTTCTTTAGATGTACATGGCACTGTAAAATAGGTAAAATGGAAAGAAAATATAGCAAAATGGCTACCTGGAATACCTGATAGTAAGAATGGAATTCACTGGCTTGAAACCTGGATAAGCTGGAATAGCCACAGCATAATTGTGTTTCTGGATGCATGTTACAGGCACTTGTACCAACTCCACTGACTTCCTGAAAGTTTCTCTTCCCATCATCTTAAAACTCATCCCACCCTGCTTCTCACCTAAATGACAGCCAAAGGATTAAGGCATGCCATCTGTCATGTGGGATTTTGTACCCTTGGGGGAGTTCATTGCACTGTCACACTTTCCATGTGTTCTGCCAAGGCAGTTATAGAATATCACTGGACTCCTGCTAACAGAATTTGCTGCACAATGTCCATATTTTGAAGCTGTGTGGCTAGCTCTTGGCTTCCTGGCTGAGATGGGCTTGTGGGCACTAGGCAGTGCTGCTAACTGTAGCTAACTAGTGCTAAACGATGACTCGCCTCCTCTCTCAGAAAAGGCCCTTTGAATAAGTGATTTAACCCTATCCTGTTTTGTTCCAGGGGTCCTTAATCCATTTTGTATGGTCTGTTTTTCATGCTTTTAGAGAGCATCTTCTATTATCTAAACTATGGCATATAGAGTTCATTGTAGCACCAGAACTGATAGACTAAGAGGACTGTTTTTTTCCCCTCAGGGAGCCTTTTCGTTAAATTCATACAGTAATTACATAAAGCAATCAGGGTGGCAACATGGTTAAATAAAGCAGTCTGGGTGGAGTACACTATACCAGCTTAATCTTTTTGTATGTATAAAGGTCTTTATTCTAACGTCTTCCTCAAGGTAGGGAGAGAGGTTTTCTAAAAGATAGTGACTGCTATAGTTCAAAATGCTGTACAAACCTGAACTATTTAATCCTCCCCACACCTCAATGAAATAGTTACAATAGGTAAGTAGCATTATTAAAGTCGAACAAATAACAGTAACTTATTAATCGCCATGTTCCACCTCTTTTTCTGCAAATGAAATGTTCATAAGCAGATTGTAAATTTTTCAGGCACCCATTATTCATTTGTAAATTTCTTAGCAAATATTTTCTTCCATGCTAATAGCTCACAAGTAGTGGGTTGGAAAAAAAAAGGGGGATATGCAACCATCCCTGTTCCCCATGTTGTATTGTTTAGCTATCTAGGTCACATGATACTGTTTTTGTTCCCTGATTGGATGATTTACATAATTAACCAACAGGGTTTTGTTTGTTTGTTTTTACAACTCAATAAAAAATGAAATTCACTTGATGGTTGTTGGATCATAGCGTTTCCTTTCTGTGTGTATGTCTGCTGAATGACTGTAAGCTCAAATGTCTGTAAAAAGCAAACCTAAAGGTTGCATCCACAATTGACTAGAGATGCATTTTCAAATTTAATTTAATATTCATAGGAAATATTTTCACTTGTTGCTCTACTATAATTATTATCTCTGTTTACAGGAGGGGACCTGAGACTGACTTATCCAAGGCCATGCAGAGAGTTGATGCCAAAGCAGAAACTGGAACTCCAGCAATCCTGGCTCCTATTCTTGTGCAGTCCATTGTAGATCTGGAACTTGCCCTTCAAATTCAAACTAAATTTTAAAAGAGTTCTGCTGTCCTAGAGAACCAAGAACACAATAAGACAGGTAATATATAAGCTTCAGCTTCTATTGGCCCTTGAGAAGGACACTTACTATAATGGTGCATTGAAAGTGAATGAGGTATAGTATGTGGTTGAACTCTTTCCCATCATGGTATCATATTGCACAATGAGGTGCATTATGAGTGTTTTCTTCTCTTTCTGAAGTATCTGGCACTGGCTATTGTTTAAGGCAGGACCTTGGACTAGAGAGATCATTGATGTGTTCTGATATGGCAATTCCTGTTTCTAAGATTAGTTCACTGTCTTATGATAGCATTCAACTCTCCCTGACCCCTCCACCTATTTCTCTATCTGTCTGCAAAATTATGTGCAAAACTGTGGAAATTCCCTCCACTCGCATAATTTCATGTCCCTTGTTTTTCTGCCCACCCACCCAATTTAACAAAACACTGTCTTTAGAGACATCCACAGTTATGCAGTTTTGTCTGATTACACAGTGAAAAAACTTCACTCATCAGCCACGTTTATTTTCTCCCAGCAATTTCCGCATCAAATGTGCGCAGGTTACAAATAAAAAGATTTTCTCACTGTCATCATTGCAATTTGCAAACTCAGACTTGGCTATAAGAACCAGGTTGGGCTCTTTCCATTTTGTGCATCATCTCCAATAATAATGGATGGGCCCCCGTCAACATCTCTGGAGGTTCACTGCCTTCTAGCTGGGCTTTTGGAGACACCAGTGCAGTCCCATTGCCCTCAGTGGGTTTTCAGAGGTGTAAATGATTAAATCTCTCATTGTTCCACAGGAAGGAATAGAATCCAGCTCACTAAATCTTAGCTGTGTTAACTCTGTGGGGCTAATAGGAATAAAAATCAGGAAAACCCTATTGTCACTAGAGTCAGCAGATCTGACTCTGAAAATGCAGAAGAAGCTGTTCTGGTGAGGAAGAAGCAGCAATGCACTCAGATAGTGGATAGCAAAATGGATTAAGACTCAGGAGACCCCGTGCTGCTGGCCTGCTGGGTGACCACACGCAAATTACTTCATCTCCTTCATCCGTTGCCCCATCTGTAAAACAAGGATAATAATACTGCTCTCCTTTGTAAAGCATTGAGATCTCCCCTGAGGAAAAGTGCTATATAAGAGCTAGGGATTATTATTATTCTCAGAGGAGAACCAGACTTAGCATATTTCCTCACACTAATTTACTTGGTAAAACATAACTCTTCCAAACCGGTAGTCTATGACTATGCTTCCCCCATATGCTATCTGTCACATGCAATGCACACGCCTGCACCTTCCGTCCCAATTCCCGCATGGAACCAGCTATTACCTTAGTCACTGAAAACAAACACATGCCTATTATGGTCTCTATAAATATCATGCTTTTCATTCATATTTACTCTGCACTGGGGTCACGTACTGATGGTTAGATACTGGTTGGCAGCCAAACTGCTATTGTGCCTGTTTATATACAGACTATGTATGGTTTAACAAGTTGTTTGTTAATGGAAAGGAAATACTTGAAAATTAATTCCTGCATGTTTGCGTTTGGTATACAACATAAATGTTGCTGTATCAATAACAGGGGCAGCGCACATCCAGCATGTTACTGTGCAAAGAGTAATTGTCACACAGACGAATCCAACATGATTTTGGCTTCTGCTTTTTTAAAGTAGTAACATATTTAGTATTTATCACAGGCTGTGAATCTGACCATGCGATGCCACCCCTATTCCCACAGACAGAGAAAAATGTTCATGCAACAGATGAGCCACGCACACTGCATGTGACTGGACAAAACCCCACATTTGCCCCAAAACCTGGATGAACATCTGGCCTGATCCAAATCCCATTTGAATCAATGGAAAGACTCTCTTTGACTTCCAAAGGCTTTGGATCAGGCCCATACTGGGCAACCGAGGAGAAAAAACACCCATTTGCACATGCAGCTAACATTTTGCATATGCAAATGTAGAGTTTTACCCATGCAGCAGGAATGTGTGCATTTGTTTGGCTCACACGTTGTGCTGGGACTGCGTAAGTTTGGCCCAACCATTCAAATACACAGTGTACAAAGGAGGAAGGGTAGATGAGATGAGAGACAGCACAGAGAGGTCTGGGATCAGGGAAAGAGTATGAGATGCGGGGGAAGAAAGAAGGGGAGGTAAATGGGCGAGGGCTGGAGAGACTGTGGATGAGGGAGAGAGGAGCGTCTCAGAGGAGAGGAATAGAAAGGGAAGTAAAGGCACAGAGGGAAGGAGAGAGAGAAGAGGGACAGAATAAAACACATTGAGAGAGAGAGACCCATATGTACATGTTCCACCTATTACTAAGCTGGAAAGGAAAGAGGGACAAGAGGATTGTGGCAGCTTATACCCCAAGACATACATTTTCAGGTTCTCATTACTCCACGTCAGGCTTTCCTGAGGTGGCAGAGGGAATGATTCCAACCACCTACAGAGAGAGTTTATTCCTCCCCTCCCCCCAAAACTCCACATAATGTTGGCTCGGTTAATAACTAATGCATTCAATATGCCTCTGCTGCATGCTAGCACACACATCTGGCTTGTGACTGCATCTCTTGTGTGCTCTGTGTGGATCTCCCACTATGCACCCCTGTCTCAAGCACACATGTAGGAAGTGGTAGATGGTTGGCAGATTATAAAGGGGGATGGGCAATCTGACTACTTCTCTGTGCAGTGCTGCAGGCTATATGGGCTGGCCAGGGACCAAATGCTTTGATTAAACATTAAACTTAAGGAAACTGGTGGAGGCACGTGTTCTAAAGTAGACGGGCGTTTGTAAAGTGTCCTTGACAATAAATTTGAATATCTGAGGCCATTGTAGTCTTTGCTTTGTTCTAACTCGTGGTTGGGAGAACTGAGGCAAAGCAGCAACGCAGACTGAGAGCTGAGGAGTCTGAACATGAAGGTACCATTCTGGGTTGCTTTTCTTTTTAGAAGTAAACAACTGGGGGGGCATTGTTCATCTTCCTAATTCTGTGCAGGACACGGGCTGTAAATTACATCTGGGAACAGAAGGTTGATGGGAGTAGAATTGGGTGCCCAGCTTCCAAAGGGAGTGCTTTGCCCTCAAGCCAAAAAAGCAGCTTCTCTAACTCAGCACAGACTCTGTTATCCCCTCCCTGTCCGCTCCTGGAGCCCAAGGAAAGGTGCACTTCAGCAGTGTTTGCTACAATGAAACTTTAGGACCATTTCCATTACAAAACTTGTTTCAGGATTAGCCATGACAATTAAAGCTAGGCTGAAATTTAGCAAACAAGATTTCAGAGTGGGAACAGAGGAGCAAAACAGATTAAAAAATCCCCCCCCTGTGATTATAGGTAAGGGTAAAAAAAGGTTTTGAAAATGAAACCATCTTACTCTGAATCACAGGACATCTTACTGTGAGCTAAGGTTCAGTTACAAATTGTGCACCGCAACCCACTTAAACAATGTTATTATTCTACTTTGAATAAAGTTTCACTGTATTCGGGATCACTCACAGAGGGTTCTATTGTGCATCTATACTCTGTGTGTGTGTGTGTGTGTGTGTGTGTGTGTGTGTGTGGT